TTGGTAGAGGGACCTCCTTGGACAATGAATCATTGCCCGGTGTGGAAAATTTACTTTCAAAGTGGGTCTGACTTGCAACATTGATGGGAAAGTGGTCATAATCTAAGTGCTGTCAGTATCTAGACAGAGGACAAGGGATGAGTTAACTCACCTTTTCAAGTGTTACTAGACACTTGCCATTTTTTCAATACTTTTATATTATGTGCACTGGCATTTTGCCTGCATGCACATCTGTGTGAGGTGTCGGATTCTTCTGGAACTAGAGTTGCAGATAATTGCGAGCTACTGTATGGGTGCTGGCAATCAAACCTGGGTCCTCTGGAAGAACAGACAGTGCTCTTAATCTCTGAGTCATCTCTCCAACCTGACACTTGTCATTCTTTAAGACAGGATCGTCACTGCCCTTCCAAACCTCCTGTAAACTCTAAAGGACAGCTCGGCTTTGCATCTGTGGACCCCAGTTTGCTGATAAGAATGTGACAAAATGAAGCAACTTCTCCTCATTCACCCAACCCAACTGAACAGTGATTGCAGGAAAAACGGATGTCAAGGAGTTGACTTTGAGGCTGGTAGAACTCCCTGCCGCTCCTGCTAACCACTAACAACGCCTGGGGAAATGTGCTAATAAGCACAGCTATGTGCATCAGGCATGAGTGCATCCTCCGGGGGATGCGAAAAAAAATGCCAAGAGGGTGACATGTGGAGAGGCCAGGCAAGGGGTTGCCCAAGAGGGGAAGAGTCTTGCAAATGATACTAGCATTATTTCCCAGAAGGTGGGAAGCACAGGAGATGCCAAGTTGCTAGGAAGTCATCATCAAAAGCTTCCACGGTTTCCCAGCACCAATGGGAAAGGTGCTGGGACCTCTTCACCCCAACCCTGACATGCAGAACTCACTCCTTCAGATCAGAAACACCAGTCCACGGCACACACAACAACTAGCATTCCTAACATGCCTCTCGCCTTCTTGGATGACTGGAAGACCCAAGCCCTGAGAGGTTCCTGGGTTTCTCTTCATGCCACAGGGTTAGTGGTAATAGCTCTGGACTGTCAAGGAGGAAGCCTACCTAGTTCTAATTTCAGTGACTTTATCCATTAATGGCGTGCCAGGGGTAATTAACTATCTTGGGCCATTTCTTTTGCTAATTATAAAGTGGGGGCCAAGCACTGTTAACTATATAAGGACACTATGGGACAAATACCTATGTCACAGTGTGCTGGGGCACTCAGAGTTAAGAAGTTCTTTATAAGCAAGTAGTGATTACAGCAAAAGCCACTACAAATTGGCCTTGGGGACCAAGGCTACACCTTAGGTATATGATTTTCGTTTTCTTTATTTTTTCTTTCTTTCTTCTTTCTCTCTCTTTCTCTTCCTTTCCTTTCTTCCTTCTTTCTTTCTTTCTTTCTTTCTTTCTTTCTTTCTTTCTTTCTTTCTTTCTTTCTTTCTTTCTTTCTTTTCTCTCTCTCCTCTCTCTCTCTCTCTCTCTCTCTCTCTCTCTCTCTCTCTCTCTCTCT